TAAACCCTAAGCCCCAAACCTGAAAACCCCAGCCCCAAGGCCGAGGCTCAGGGGTGAGGCTTTCCAGGTTTGGTTTACTCACGAGCCTTAGAAAAGCCATTGACGACGTTTAGGGTTCAGGGTTTAGGGTTTAGGGTTTAGGGTTTAGGGTTTAGGGTTTAGGGACACCAATGTGAATACTATTTAATAGTAATATTGCCCGCAACAACCGTGATAGTATAGTAATGACAGCATAAAATGCAATAAAAGTAGGTAGCATGACGATGCATAGCGATAACAGCGATGATTGTAATAATAGTATTGCAGCATGAATACTAACAATAGTAATAGTATAAGGAGAGCAAAGGTAGTATGTAAAATTGCACATAATACCCTGCGGGACGTCGGGAGTTTGCAAGTTGTGCAGAGCTTCATATACCAGCCAGAGAGGACCAATAATGTAGTTTGCAGGTTGTTAGGAGGTTAACCCTAAGGGTCCAATGCCTAATAGTCATAAGATACTCCCACAAATAATGACCTACATAACCACTATCCCAAACACAAGTGCCTTATTGTTGAGTCCTTTGGACCTTTTGGGTAATTGTGTACTACAGGATTGTTTTTTCAGACGTTGTCCTGAATAGCAGGTACATAGCTCAGCAACAGCTTCTTGAAAATCAGGTGTTCCCCGTGACCCGAGTTTAGTTGGATCGCTGCCTACATTTGTGCACCACTGGCCGTTGCCAAGGCGGCCAATATGCGAATGACCGCAAGCAACTTTGCAAGGAAAGCGTGTCTCAGTTATCTACTAGGTGCCTATGGGCCTTAAACCCTAAACCCTAAACCTTAAACCCTGCAAGCCAATTCAACGACTTCGGCATTTTCTATTCGGGCTGAAGGCTTCCAACCGATCCCCAACCCGAGCTCAGACTGAACCCTAAACCCTGAACCCTAAAACCTAAACCCTACAGGCTTTGAGGTCTTTTGTTTTGGGTTCTGGATTCCAATGGCAGTGTCCGATTGTTGTGCCCAGATCCCCGAGAGAACAACTCATCACTTCAGAAACGAGGAGCCTGAAGAATTGCACGCACTTGCCCTCACACAATGTAGGGGCCTTAATAATTAGAGTAGGTTTTGGGGGCTCCTTATTATAATTATAGTATAATAACATACAAAAAACCCCTATTCTAATTTTTAAGGCCCCTAGATTATCCGCTCTAGCAGCTGTTGTATCCCAGATTCTCTCTAGATTTTAACTCCCAGCCATCTGAGCAACAAGCTCAGAGCAAGTCTTGGTTCGAATTATCCACGCCCTTAGACAAGCCCTGGTCGAATCCATGCCCTTCAGAGCCCCAAAAAAGAACAGAAGGTCTACAGCCCCCGAGAGAACGACAACGCCCCCATATGACGAAGACCCTAATTAAACTAAAGCCGAAACCATAAAGTCATAACACACTAGAAGCCCAACGTACCCTAAGCAAACTCCCCCTGCGCCCTGAGCCCTGAAGCCTATGCAGGTAATTTATGTTACACTCTACGACTCCCCAAACCCTCTTTCCTTACTGGCGCTGAAGAACGGATCCCTGTTATCATGAATAGTCCCCGTATATTCCCTGACAGTAATCATTACATTCCTGCCTCCACTCTTCCTTAGGCCCTAAACCCTAAACCCTAAACCCAAAACCAGAAAGCCTAAACCCGAAAGCCTCGCCTGGATTGTCTGAATGTGAGCGCCGAAACCCCTAAACCCTAAACCCTAAACCCCAAACCATACACCCTAATCCTTCTTGGCGTCCTTACATTCCTTCCTCCATTCTTCTTTAAGCACCAAAACCAACCATAAACCCCAAATTTCTACAATCTTAACCCCCGAAACCAAATTCTAGGCACGGCTTCGGAGTCTACACTTGGAGCGACCAGAGAAGCTTCGAAGGCTTCTGGAAGGCTGGCTATGGGAAGCCACCCACCCTAACGCGCGCCTGTCGCAGTTTCCTTTAGGGTGTAGGTTTTGGGGCCCCTAAACCCCATACCCCGGGCCCCAGTCAGACTTGTTGAGTATATCTAAACTCCTGAACCTGAAACCTCGTGATGACCAGAAGCTAGTCTCTACTAAGCTGCTGATCTGTCCGGCTTGCTTGGCTGGTCCTGATACCCGTGGCTTCCCCTCAAACACTGTCATCCCAATACCTGGACCCCAAAAGTACGTGGAATCATGGCCTTTTATAGGTGGTTGGGCCATTATTTCCCCTACTTTTGGGGTTGAGGAACTGCACATACGCAACCGAACTCGCCAAAAAAAGGAACCCTAAACTCCAAACCCTAAACCCCTAATTCTTAAGCCCTAAACCTTAAACCCCTAAACCCTAAAACCCTAAAGCCCTAAAGCCCTAAACTTTAAACCCTAAACCAAGGAACCCTAAGCTTCAGCCCAATAAACTGAAAACCCAAGTGTCAACCCCTCCAACTTCTAAACGCCGAGCACATCGATCCCAGGGGGTACCCTTAAGGCACGGGATTTGGGATCTCAAAGTTTAGGGTTTGGGATTTAAGGTTTTGGGTTAGGGTTTTGAGGGATCTTAACGTAGGGTTTAGGGTTCAGGATTTAAGGTTTAGGGTTTAGGGGTCTTAACATTGACTGAAGAAGATTTGCATGCAGGACGGGAAGCAACATGGGCCTGGCGCCAGGGACTCGGCTATAAGAAAGTTGATGTTGGCCTAAATATCCTGCTGAAGCCCCTTGTCGCTGTGTCTCAAAGCAGAGGTTGGGGATTTCATAGTCCATGGTGCTTGGGTTCCGGATACATGAACATATACATACATGCGTACGTAAAGACGTCAGGTACATACCTAGGTTGCGCACATGCATATTCATAGTGAAAACTAGTATCATAGATACATGCATACCTACATTATGTTATACGCGTGCGTCAGAAAGTTGGGTGAATGAGCTCCACCGTTGGGGTTAGCGCTCCTGGATGGCTGCATTTAACCGGGCTCTTGTTGAGGAACCAGACTTACAATTCCAGACGAAGAAACGAATACTATGTGCGAGAACAACTCCCATATTTCCATCGCGGCTCCTTAGGATGATTATAGTGATAGCAGCATAAAGTAATCGCCCCCAAGCCCTGTTCTAGCCATTAAGACCCATGTAGTAGCTTTGATTGGGGGTCTCTTCTTGTGTAGAAACCGTTCTGGTTTTCTAGAGTATATTATAGGAATTTTATAGTACATCATGCTTAGGACTATTGTCTTGTCTAGAAGACCCAGAACCCTAAATCCTAAATCCTAAACCCTAAACCCCTAAACTCCAAACCCGAGACTTCCAGCCCTAACCCCCAGCTTCAACCCCCCGCCTCTCAGGTCATAAAAAGCGCTGAGGGCAGAGCACTGAAACACGGAACCTGGGAGAACGGGCGACTGGTGGACTAGGTAGGGGAGTAGAGTTTAGGGTTCAGGGTTTAGGGATATTTTCGGGCAGTTTCGCTTTGGGGTTTATAGGCGTTTAGGGTTTAGGGTTGTGGACTAGATTTCGCTGTCGAGGGTCAAGTTACGTTACAGCTGAGGGTTTCGTGGTCTCAGCGTTTAAAGCCTAAAGCCTTTCATCATTGGGAGCTGTATCCAGGCAGCAAGAATCACCAATGGGTATAGTGTGGGCTTGGGGGCTGGGGACGGGGTGCTGGGTGGGAGAGGGGTGTTGTGGTAGCTACATACCTGAAGCGAGTTTTGATCGATGGGGATTGTCTTGCCAATCGTTCTAGCTTTTTCTCGTGTTCTACTGGCGTTGAACAGATCTGTCGGTCGTTGGGTGTTTCTACATCCCTCAATGCCTAAACTCTGCCTAGAGTGGGGTCGCATGATCAAGTGCACTTCTAAAGGGGCTTCCTGGCTTAGAAGCACAGAAGGCAGAACGTTAGAGGGCCCTCGCGGGCTAGGCTTGCGCTTTCAATCCGAATCAATGTGCCTTTTTCTCTGCATCATCAGTATGACCGCTCCTGAAAGCCTTACAGTCTAAACCCTAGACCCTAAACCCTAAACCCTAAACCCTAAACCCTAAACCTGAAAGCCTTACAGTCTGGCAGGTCCACTCTGAACGAAGAGTCTAGAGAGCCCCGGTCATGCCACATCCTAAGTCGTCCGGGGGAAGCCCACAAGAATCTCCATCTGGAAATCCTCGTCCTATTAAGACACGTCTATCTTTAACCATGAAGTGGGACACATCAAGCTAATGCGGACATGAGGGTTCTCTCTTTGCTTGCCTCGTCTGCTTGTCCCGAGCAACAGCCTAAATCGTCAAAAGGGTCCAATGTGACTTCGATGCATTGGGCGGTTTCAGACTTGTCGCGGGGTTGCCTTTGTTGGCTGAAGCCTCGTCCCGTGTTCACAAAAGGTGAACGGGCCGAAATCCAAAAGGGGCAAAAGCAACTGAGGTTTCCGCATCTAGCTGCAGGATGTAGGGAAAGTGTAGGATGGTTGGTTTGCTTCAGGGCTTAGGGGCTTCCAGGGATTATAAGAGGGTTTAGGCTTAGGGTTGAGGGAAGTTTTGTC